ACCTGTTAGATTTTTCCACTAAATCTTATTAGGAGGCTGTGCGCATGTGCAATAGTCACAGGAAACGCATCATCAACCAGGAAACTGCTTGGTGGACATGAAACGGCTCTTTTTATTTTTACGATTTCCTGCCATCCTTTGTTATTCAATGCAACTGCAATGAAACAGTGATGTGCATTAATTTGTGTTTTTAATGTTTTTGACCAAATATTAATGTTTCATTTTGCTTATTTTGAGAGAGACTCTAGAAAAACACCAGAGAACCAGCTAGCTAGCATCATTGCTAGGTCTGCTGGCATGTTAACGGGTACAAAAGGTAGATTAAATAAACAATAGGAGTGATTTACTGTGAAGCAGTATATAAAGATGTATTCCACTAATATTCAAATCAACAGTTCATGGTTTTTGTAACTGTAGGTGGTCTCAACATGTTAGCATGGCATGAAGTGACTGATAGCGTTAGCTGCTAACTTGCATGATGGTCAGCATGAGAGCTGCACCTCAATAGGAACGTTGTGCACATAAACATCTGCTTTAATTAGTAGTTCAGTTGCGAGTGAATAGAAATTCTAATCCAGGGAATTTGATCACAGTTGAAATATATAAAGTTATGTTTATTTCTTCCTCATTAGGCTTTAAAGTTTACCTGTGTTGTGTAATGAGCCTCAGCAAATACTGTTTAATACAGTTTGGACGACAATAAATGTTTGTGAATTTAACATGTACTGTCATTTAATACATTTCCACAGGATAAGTAGTTGTGCTGTGAACACAGAAGGTACTATTAACTCTAGTTAAAAGAATTGCATAAATCCTACAAGTAGGATTCTAATTTAAACATTAATTCATTCAGGTTTATCGAACATGATGTAGGAACATAAATTATATTACCATGTTTTACATTGGATTTATGTATTTAAACTGAATGGAAAATTGACATAATTAAAATACGTAAATTTTAACTTTGGTCTTAAATATTTTTTTGAGTGTACGAGGTTTTTTATCAGATTTGAGTGCTATTAGCTTTACCACAGACATTTGGAGCTCTGATTTTTCCCCGATGTCATTACTCAGCCTCACGGCACAATGGATTGACTCGACTTTTGATGTAAAGCGTGTGGTGTTGTATCTGCGAGTTCTCTCACTGGATGCTGTTGCAAACAAGTTTCTCTGTGCCGCCTGTACACGTGTGGACAGCGAGAGACTCTTTAGTGCAGTCTCAAACGTCACTGATGAGAAGAGGAACCGTCTGTCCCCGAACACGGCAGAGATGCTGATTTTCCTAAAAACCTTCACTTCATTTTGAGAGTGTGGGAACTGAATGAGAGAAAGGAAAAACTGTAGCAGCTCCAATAAAAGCACTTTAAGAACTGGCCTTCCCAGAGAACAACAAAGTACAATGCAACTTTATTATTTTGATATTCAGTTTTTACTGTAATGCTGTTACTCTAATAAGTAGAAACGTATGTTGCTTATTACATGTTCAAGTTAAGCTGCTACACCACTTAAGTGGAATTGAGATTTGTGATTTTTAAGTATACTATTTTTACTATCGGTGGAATTTCATTTATTTGTTGTGAATGTGAATGTTAAGCTATTAAAACTCTTTAAAGTGGAATTATAATTATTATTATTACTCATTTTGAGTGATCTAGTTTTACTGCTGCACTTAGTGGAATTTATCCAAGCTATTTATGAAGACATCTTATAGTTTAAAAAACATAGCTTGGATGCAGGCTATTTTTTTCTTAATGCACTTCAGAGCTATTCAGTTGTGAAGCATATACAGGGTGTCCCAAAAAAAGTGACCTCATTTGAGATGAAGAAGTAATCACGTCCTGGCAAACGAAATTCAATAGGCTTCATGTTGAACAATACAAGATTTATTTATCAAAATTTAGATTTTATAACTGATTTCACAGCTTCACAAATGTTCAATATGTGCACCGCCTGTGACACGACACAGGTCAAGTCGGTAGTCCAGCTCCTGCCAAACAGGCTTTGACATGTCTTGCGTTACAGTTTCCAGTCCAGTTGGTGCGTTTTTTTTTTATTTTCTGGAAAATGCTGCTGGACACTCTTGTTTGACTGTGTTCGAGCAGTTCTTCAACCTGACATTAAAAATTAAACTTGGTTAGTTTTTACACATTTTGTTAAAATTTGAGATCATTTGAGGGAGAATTGGCTGTTATTAGACTACAAAATGATGTCGAATTTTTTTGGGACACTCTGTACATTGGATTGATTTTAATAACTGTAATGTACTTGAACTGTGCAACAGTTTTATCTAGGAAAATACAAGTATTGGATTGAGACTCAATATCGGAAGATGGACAGCATTAAATGACTCGGATCGGGATCGGGGGGCAGAAAAACTTGATCTGGACATCCCTATTTTTTACATCATAAAATCTCATCACAGATCAGAAATAAAATTGAAACATACTGGTTGATTGCTGACCACGTGTTAGGAGCGAGTATCAGCCGATTTTGTTCCTGGCTCATTCTGACTGGACACCTACTGGAGAAATCTCTTGTAAAAAGAACAACCTCAGCCCAGTTTGGTCTATTAGCTCAGAAGGGATGCGAGCCATGTTTACAAGGGCAATGAAATGTTCACACATTACAGTGCAAACCACTGAGCATGGACCTCCAGTTTGTGGTCATAAGTCTTAGCGTCCACCCAAAGTCATACCTAATAAAACAGGCAGACTAGACAAGTTCCAGGAGTCTAAATCACAAAAAATTCTTCCCAATCCTACCTAGGCGCCAGCCCATCGGTGGCGAGGCAGCAAACAGAATCCGCGGAGACAAAACATCTCGAGATTGTTGGTGGTCGAGTCCTCGGCACCCTACACTGGCCTGGACCGCAAGCGGAGCGCTTAACCAAGATGAATACCTTCCTTTTGGCCTAAGCAGCAGATTATTGAAATGTACCCATAAAACATTATGGAGCATGGTTGCCAGATATTGGGTCCTTTGCATCATTGGCTGTCGGGAGAACGAACACGGAGGAGTGTTTTTGAACAACATCTGGCTCTTCGTCTCCCACAAGCGAACCATGGAGAATGACTTGGGTTCTGCCGGGGAACGAAATGCAAGCCATCTGGTGCCTACAATCAATCCATTAAACGTGTTGAAAATCAGGGAGGAGAGCGGGCTCCTATTCCGACGTGGAAAGAAGTCCGAAGCCCGGAGCGTTCCGTGTTTAGGGGCTGGTTGCAGAAAGCTGTGAAAAGTTTGCCAGCCGTGTTGTAGTAAATCGTGCCACGATCTGACACCTATAACAGCAGAACTATAAATAGGCTTAAGTTCCAGATGTTCGGTAAAACACATAATCATCTAATCACAAATGGAACAAGTGGCTAATGTTTTGTATCATCGCAGTCAAACATAACCTTGTATCTCCAAAGGGGTTCATTTACAGGACAAGGGAAAAAAGGTTAATGTACCTCTTACTGTTGCCCTGTGATAAACTGGTGACCTGTCCACTGTGCTTCCTGCCTTCCGCTGATAGGCTCCAGCACCACCTGCGACCCAGAAGAATAAACGGCTTAGATTATATGTGTGTGTAACTTTAATGTACAGTAATTTAGTGAGATTTTGGTCCCACTTTATATTGAGTGTCTCTAATAACTGTGTAGTTACACATAAATAACATATACAACAACACTGTAACTACTGATGATTTAGTCAATGTTACAGATGGATTACAGAAGTACAGCCTATGTAATTACATATGTGTATCAGCTTCAGTTTTGCCTCATGTGATTACAGAAGTGTCTCTTCTACACAGGGACTTTCCAGTAGTTCAGTGTTAAAGTTACACTTTAAAATAAGTGGACAGTTCCTGTGTAGTTATTATGTAGGTACTGTGTAATAATGCAGTGGTAATATAAATGTTATAAAAGTAACATTTTAAGATAAGGGGTCGTCTGCTGTTCTGTCACATTACAGAATGGTTTAAAGCTGAAACTGGTTACAGTGTCACAGCATTAGCAACATAAACACTGGCTAAATGTTAGGAAAGCTGGCAGATACAGTGTCAGTAATGTTTTAATGTAAGTTATTACAGACTTCCTTTCACTGCTGGAAAAGACCAGAAAACAACTGCTGTTCAAATTACATTTGTGTTATTACCCTTGTGTAATTACATGAGAGAGAATAGGCTGTCGCAACTATTAAGATACACTTGTGTAATTACATGAGGCAAAACTGAAGTTGATACACTTGTGTAATTACATAGGCTGCACTTCTGTAATCCATCTGTAACAGTGACTAAATCATTAGTAGTTACATTGTTGTTGCATATGTTATTCACATGTAACTACACAGTTATTAGAGACACTTAATATAAAGTAGGACCGATATTTTATTCTAAGTAATTTTGGACAACTTCTATTGGTCCACTCATCATGAAATAGCTACAAAATAGCAAAGGGCTGATGGCATTTCCAAGAAACAAAAGAAAGAAAAAACTTACGGTTATGTCGTTTTCACATGACAGTGATAATGTATCACCAGTGTTCTGAAGAAACCTGGGAATTTTATGGAGAATTTGATGATGTCAAAACACCCCCTCCACCACCACCACCACCGCCAAGAGCTCATTACTTCTCTCAACAGGCACTGGGCCATTTGACACCCTCAGTAAATTAGTTCACTTTATAACCCTTATCTCTATTTTCACACAGGAGCCTTCAACTAGATAAATAGTTTATTGTCTTCAACAGTATAAACAAATATGATAACTTGGTGCCACATACATTACTGGAATGCGTGCTACTGGATGACAGTGATAAGGGAGTCTTTTGAAAGCAAGGAAAGCCCCGGTCAAAACAATCACACACCTTAAAGAGCTGTCAGGATAAACACATTCAGAACAAGCTAAAGCTATAATATTTAATAAATTAAATGAATAACCTCTATGTAATCAGAAATTCAAAGACATCAGAGCATGTAGCTAATTAAGCAAAACAAACCACTGTTTATCCCCATAAGTGAAATTAAAAAAAGAAAAAAAAAAAAAACTATTTGTTAGTACTTGATTTAGTCACAAAAATATAGTGAATCTTATTTACTGTATATATAAAAAATGAACAAAAAAACATACATTTTATTCATGTTTCTAAATTACATCTATGATACATTTAATATGTACAAAAGCTGCACTGTAATGCAGTGTAAAAGCAGTCCTTCAGGAAATCAAGAATACGTTTAAGGAGTCTTTTTCATGGCTCTTCACCCTTAGGCAGGAGATTAGCCTTTGGCTGTCAGCGCTCTGAACGACCTCTGCACCTTTTGAGTTCTTTAGGAGTTCAGGAGGTCCTGAGGTCAATGAGGTCATGCTGCTGGTTTATAGGTCAAGGAGCCACTGCCGGATCATTTGAACCCACAGTATTAGCATGCCGACATAGGCTCCTCCCCTCAAGGGGGTGGAGCCTGAGAATGTCCTGTCGTGATTAGATCTTCCGTGGTCTTGAGGATGGGCCTGGACAGTGATGTAGCCGTTGATGATTCGGACAACTGGGGGAGGTGATTCCACTGTTGTGCTGTGGTCGAGAGAAAGGAACAGAGAGTGTTAAGACTCAGCGATGAAGGACTTTCCAGTGTTTTGTCTATGGCGAAGACTGAGAGACCCACACACATCCTGCCTTTACAAATAATCTAACAATGGCAAAGAAAACTGTGGATGTGGGTTACATATAAACATCGAACTGTGTCAGATTTCCATGGGGAGGTTTAGTACATTATGTTTTTTAAGCAGCTTCTGGGTTTTAACATTCAATGTTTTTAATATAATTTATTTTACCAATACATTTTCGACAATTTTACCATTTTTTATCTTTAAGGGACACATTCAAACATGCAAATAAAAATTGTGCAACTGTGGGAAAAAAAGGGCTGAAACTTAAACACAGGGTCTGAAATTCAGTTCACCGTTATGGTTACACAGGTTTTTGATTTCCACATAAGCCTTTCCCTAAAGACGCAATTTTAAGGTAAAAGGAAAACTTAAGATAAATTAAGATATTTTATGTAAGTCACCACTGTTTCTAGGCAATTTTAGAATTTAATACCTCTGAAGTAAAAAAATAAGAGACCCATAAAAAGTCATCTCATCGCCTATCTTTACTAGCCATGGAAGAAAATTATGGTACCAGTATTTGCTTTTCATACGAAGGAACCAAATATCATCTTGCAAACGGCTACAAGCTGATAAATTTGAAACCACACTTATATGTCTCATTGCCACAGATGTATAAAATCAAGCATCTAGTCATGCAGTCTGCCTTTACAAACATTTCTGGATGAATGAGTCATTCTAAAGAGCTCAATGAAACAGAGTGTGGTGCTGTAATAGGAGCCACGCTGCAGAAAGTCAGTGCACAAAATTTCCTCCCTCCTAGATGTTTCACAATCAACTGTGAGTGGTATTATTGAAAAGTGGAAGTGTTTAGGAACCACAGCAACTCAGATACGAAGTGTCAGACCACATAAGTTACAGAACGGGTCGCTGAGTGCTGAGGAGCATAAAGCATAAAAGCCACCAGCGCTCTGCTGATCAATAACTGGAGTTCAAACCTCCTCTGGTATTAACATCAGCACAGAAACTGAGCGCCAGGAGCTTCATGGCTGGGTTTCCACGGCTGAGCAGCTGCACACAAGCCTAAGATCAAAATGCACAATGCCAAGCGTTGGATGGAGTGGAGTAAAGCGCCACCACTGGACTCTGGAGCAGAGGAAACATATTCTGTGGAGTGACGAATCAGCTTCTCTATCTGTCAGTCTGATGGATGAGTCTGGGTTTGGCGAATGCCAGGAGAACGTTACCTGCCTGACTGCACTGTGCCAGCTGTAAAGTTGGCAGGAGGTGGAGGAGGGATGATGATATGGGGTTGTTTTTCAGGGGTTGGTCTAGAACCCTTAGTTCCAGTGAAGGGAAATCTTAATGCTTCAGCACCAAGACATTTTAGACAATTTTATGCTTACAACTCTGTGTGAACAGTTTGGGGAAGAACCTTTTCTGTTCCAGCATGACTGACCCCCAGTGCACAAAGCAGCTCCATAAAGGCATCATTGGGTGAGTTTGGTGTGGAAGAACTTGACTGGCCCTCACAGAGCCCTGACCTCAACCCCATCCAGTCATACTATTTAGAGAAAAAAAGTTGTAATATTTAGAGAAAGAAAAGTCGTAGAATTACGACATTAAAGTGTCACAGACAGTGAAAATGATATTCAAAATGATTGACTGACAGAGACAGGAGTGCGTGGAACTCTGGCGTGCCAGAATAGCAACCGAGACCCCAACGCGTTATGGCAGCCCCCCTACAGTTAGCCCACTTTTATGCTCCAAATATTACAACTTTTTTTCTTGAAATATTACAAAGTTTTTCTCGAAGTCTAGTGTTTTTATTTTTATTAACAGTGGCCCTAAAACGCCGTCACAGGATTGTGCTTTTAGGTCTGTGCTTAAAAAATATGACTAACCATTAAAAAGAGTTTTTCTTGCCATAAAATGCTGAATTCAAATTGTAATAAAATCTCTTCTGGTTACAAAGACAAATGTGGTTAGAATTTGCACTTTTTTCTCTGCTTGTTTAAATATAGTCAGTGAGGAATAACTAACTCTAAAACTACACTATGTATGCTATGTATTGTTAGCAACAACTGTGACTTCTAAGGGTTAAACTGTTGCACCCTGCCAATTTGCCCCGACATTCCCCTCTCTTTTTATCTTTCCCTCCCTCCACATGGTCAAGCATGGGCCTCAGCCAGTCAAAACAAAAGCCTGCAGGTTCATTCTCTGCATCTTGACTGGTTCCAGCAAATGCCACTCACACGAAAATTCCAATTTCTCAAGCTTGTCCTATCGCCTCTGTTAGCAAAACAAACAGTCGGGACCTGCACTCTTTGTGTTTGATGTCTGAAACTTAATTAAATGATGGAGATGAGGATAAGATAGGATTCTGAACAGAATAAAGTGGTGGCCATTTATGGCTATCAGCACTTTGTATTTATGAGGTGGGACAAAACAGCCCAAAACAAGCTTGAATATTCAGGCATTTTTTCCTGATTCGTACGCTTGTAGTTAATAATATTTACTTTGCATTAATTGGCCTTGGTTGCTTGTTTCAGACGTTACTTTCAAAGCTTTCTTTTCACTTTTCCCTACTTGTCTTTACAATGTTTTTTCGTCTGTATCTTTTTCCTTTTAAACCCTTAGTTCAGAAGTCTGAATGAAGATTTACTTAAACTTGACCTCCACTACGAAATCATGCCTGGGAAGTCAAGAGGAAAGTCTCTTAATGCCGTTTGACAGTTAGCATTAGGCCATGTATCAAAGCAATGGCAGAAAAGCAGCTATTCAGTCTCCCCCTGCAGACCAAGGAGTTTAGAACAAGGGGGGCTGTATGTTTTCAAAAGAATTCAAGCTACAAATATGCTTGGAAAAAAAAAATGATAGAATAATGATGATCGGCCAACATGCGTAAACATTCAGGGCTGACCTTGGTCAACAATTTCCAGCTTGAATGTTTATAATAATCCGTCGTAGTGCTGTCAGGCTTGTGGGCCGTCTGAAATGTGTGAGTTTATGAAACGTGCAGGCACAATAAACAGGGTTATTTTCCATGCAGAGAAAGGGAGAAAAAAAGGGTAGAAGCGGGCAGAATTTGGCACAAGTCAAGGTTAGAAAGCTCTGCGTTTCAAGAAATGGAGGAAAAAGACGAATAAATTGTTTCAGTGTTTTTTTTTTTCTTTTTTTTTTCCCAAAAGTGAAATGACATCCACTTCCTCTGACTGTGTCAACAGTTTCTGGACATGGATGGAATTTAAAGGTCCAGCCAGTTTGCTTCTTCTTTATGGTTCCTTCTGGCTCAGAACATGGATTAATATGGCTTGTACCTGCTTGTTTAGAATTACAGGCAAATTCATTTTACTTACTCCTGTGTTTCAGAGAGAAAAGAGATCGAGACAGACATCTTGTCCCTCTATAATAACGCTTGGGTCCCAGATGAATTCCTCTAATGTAGGTAAAAATAAATTCAGTTCATATTCAGAAAATATTGTTTTTTTTGACAGTCTGGGGTTTCATTTTCTGCTGAGTGCTCAAGTACATTTTTATAAACAATCTTTTAAAGGCATATTTTGCACAGAATTAAAGAGGCAAATGCAAAAAAACACTAAATGAAATGCATATAATTTTTAAACCCATATCATGACAGTTCTTAATTTACACTGACATGGCAGTTGTTCAATTCAGCTAGCCATGATGAATAAGGCTTATTACAGTTTAATTAATCTGTTTTACTGAGTATTGTTTCTCGATCTCTTTTCTCTCTGAAACAATCCATGTCATCTCTTTATACAGCATTTAAGTGAGCACTGAGTTAAGTATGTATTGTGATGTATTGTACTGCACTTATTAAAATGTATTGCACTGCTCTGTGTTTAACTCTGTTTCTTTTTTCTGGGTATCAACATGGGCTTTTGTTTCTAGCATTATCTGAGCTCAGGACTGGCTTTCTCTCTAACCTATTGGTAACTAGCAAAGATACTTTCTCTAGACAAACAAAGCACTTTTTGTAAGTAATCTGGATAAGAGTGTCTGCTAAATGCTGTAAATGTAAATGTGTTTGCAGAAATATCTTTGTGGTTTAAAGGCGTTTCAACAATAGCCCCTGTTCTCTGGGCAGTTCAGTACAGCACAGTACGGTTAAAGATTGGTGATCATACATTTTGTCATTTCTACTGCCAGCAAGGAAAACTAGAGACTTTGCAGAGCAGTGATTCCTTAGGACTGGAGTTGAGAAGCCCTGTTCTAAGACATACAGTCTCACCTACCAGTGATTACAAAATCCACGACTGGAAACTAGAGTCAAAGTCCAGGGCTGTATACCTCTTTCTAACGTTGTACACAGAGTAAAGTATCCCTCAGTATCTTAGATCCATAATGTATTCAAAGCCAGGCACCAGCTCAGTTGAGACAGAATCAGTGCTGCAGGGGGGTGATGGAATTACTATCCTGCGTGTATATGTGTGTGATGTGATTGAAGAGCTTGTGTATCCTCTACAGCTCTCAAACAAAGTATCATCTCTGCCTTAGAGACAATCCTTTCCTGTTCGCCGATGCTTCACCAACCTGCTGGGGCCTCAGGCAAACCACCGCCCAACCAGCTCCCCAGTCCTCTACACTACACTTAGCTAACACGACCCACCTCATCCTCTTGCTCAAACCGTAACATGAAACGGTCAGGAGGAAACCACCTCACACCTGGGCTCTGGAACTCGATAGTGGACTATGATTGTGTCAACTGGCTAATAAGGTCTAGATGGCGAAAGGGAGAGAAAACTCAAATTTCACCTGGAGGATTTCCAGAAATCCTTACCAAAAATAATGATTCACTGGAAAACTCTGAATATGCAAAAATAATAGCTGTTATCTATCAGGTGATACTTGTGGTTGAAGTTTCCTTTGAAGTCTTTGAAGCTATGCCTTGGCTTCCAACATGTCCCATGATGTTTTGCACACATTTAGCCTCAATCTCATTTCTTCTTTTTACCCCTACCCCTTGTTTTCGAGTGTCACCCTAACCCTTTGGAACTGAGTTACAAGGGGTGGTGGTTGAAATCTTGCCCTACGAAATGGGACCCTCAAGAAAAAAAAACCACTTCATTAACAGCTACTAGCGCTGCTCTGTGGCGACCCTGCCAGTCTGCAGTGACAGCAGAGGAGGGTAAAGTTCAGCTCCTCACTGCTGGGCTTTAGTTACATTTAGGGAATCATATGCCTTCAAAGAAGGGGCAATTATTTATTATCATAGACCCCTAATTCTTTGGTGATACAAAGCTGAAGTCAGATATTCTCCAGCTTCTTATTTTCATTTTGCCGTTCTACCTTAAATGGTGCAGCAGTTACATTCTGGCACTTCAGGCATCAGAACTGCTGGACTATTTAAGGTGGAACAGGAAAGTTAGCTAGCTAGCTACTGAGATATTAGCATGCTATTGGCGATTTTTTATGCTTGTTATGAAGAAAACGACCATAATACACTGAAACGACATTAAACTAAAATAATACAGTGGTTATCATAATTTTTAAAGGAGAAAATTCTCACATGTATGGGTTTCTTTGGTCTCTTGTTCAGCCATCTTGTCGGTTTTTCTTTTTTCTCATAACACTCTGTTTGGAGTGCGTCTCTGAAAAACCTCTGTTTGGAGGGCCGTGTTCTATCTCAACAAGAATTGGGACACCCTAACCCTAGACGTGAACACACAAAAGAGAGGGCTAAGGGCTAAGTGGTAGGGGCGAGGGGTGAAATGGGATTGGGCCTTAATCTCCGTCAAACCCTAATTATGAAACAGAGATAACCATCCAGAAGGAGGGAGGCAGGCAGGGATGCCACTGCTATACCAGTAAGTGTCCTTGGGCTAAACTGCTAAAGTTACATTCACCTACAACTGCAGGTCACTCTGGATGAGAGTGTCTGCTGTATATGTAAATGTAACGTAACGTAACCAACCTTTCCTCCATGCGAACCCAGAGGTCATTGAACTGCCGGTGGCGCTGCTTCTTCTGCTTGTTTCGCCGCTTCTTCTTCAGCTTCCTCTCCACCTTCTCCAGTAGCTCTAGGCTGTCTGGAAGCAGTAGGTGGGGCAGAGGATCCTCCTCCTCTAGGGGTTGCCAGTCTCGATCTTCGTGCAGGAAGAGATCGGTTTGGGACTCCACGTCTGAGATGTCGTCCTCTTTAGGAGGGCGGGATCTCCGGCCGCTGTAGAGGGCGAAGAAGAAGGATTAGAAACAGACAGGAATGGTTTGGTTTTACAGACACAAATTAAGCCTAGTCTTGGACCTGATTACGTAGTCACTGGGAATTTTCCTTTGGAAATCCTTTTTAATCTAGGAGTATGCGCAGTTGGTATCTGGAAAATGTGCGCAGTATGGCCTGGCTTAATTGGAGATGGCTGAACTGGTTTGCATGCACTGGATGGGTTTTGTGAAAGCAGAACTTTTTTGGACACTTTGTTGAACTAGCAATCCAGGCTGTGTTATCACCACCTCTAGTCCTCGAATTTTAGTTTCCGTCCAGACATACTCATAGTTCAAGAGAAAGCATTCTAAACATTCTCTGTCACAGAAATGGTGGGATGCTACTTTCTCCATTATGAACATTAAGAAGGCCTTAATTCTCTGAGGTTTGTGTATTTTTGGGATGGAAGTGGCGATGAGTTTGATGAAGCGGAATCTTTCAGATGATAAAAAAGGAAGCATCTGTTTCTGATGAAAGCTCAGTCTGGCTCTGAGAGATGTCTTCACTGACGCACATTCATGTGGCTTTAAATGGTGTCTGAAACATTACAGGAATCTATTATAGCGGCAATGGTGCAAATAAGTTGGGAAGCCAAACCTCCTCCAACTTGCTGGTGCATTTTTATAATGGAACTTTCCGGACCTCAGGCTTCTAGTGTCTCCTCCAATCTGGCACCCCATCCATTTCATAAATGTGTGTGTGTGCGTAAGAGAGGGAGAAGAAAAAAGAAAGAAAGAAAGAAAGGTGAGGCAAAATAGCATTCTTCCTCTGACCACTGCCTGCATATTTTGGATGATAGCTTGATAAAGTGAGAAGATTGTTTTTCTTGGGTGTGTAATCTACATCCTCACCATCTCACCTCTGGCTGTGTGGCACATTGCGTGTGTGCTGATGAGTGTGGGGGGATAAAACAGAGGAGAAAGCAGAACGGAGAGATGAACTGATTGTGTTATCTGATTACGAGACAGAGACAGCCACCCAGAAGGAGGGAGGGAGGCAGAGTGTGTAAATTCTCCTGAAACACATAAATTCCAGGGGTTTATGACCTTAAAATTTAAGGAAGGTTCATACTTTAAAAGATACACTGAGATTTAAGCACTGCACCCCAGAGTTTCCCCAACTTTTTATAGTCTTTTAGGGCTTCGCATTAACATTTATTTTTTCCTTGCTGTAAACTTTATTTCCAGTATGCGACAGTGGCTTTATTGTGTGAATTAGGGCAAAGCAAGGAGCACTAAACATGTCATTCTGAGGGTGGCTTAGTGGAGCACAGCAGCTTTAGGAAGCAGTTTGTTACTGATGTAACAAAAACGTTTTTTTCCGGACTGAGGATTTTGTAGAAGAAGGAAAAAATGCTTCAACTTTAATGCACGTTAATGTAGTATTTGAAGTATTTTCAGACTACTTCTAATTGCATTCACACAATATAAAGGGCAGCTAACTTTTTCAAATGGTGTAGAAAAGAAAAAAAAAGTTATAAAAAAAGATACGAGGTTATGACAGTGACAACGTGTTGCTGATTTATCTGCTTTTTACATATTTAAGTACAAAAATGGTAAAACAGGAGCTACTCCAGAATCACTGGTGCTTTTCGGAGTGACTTATCCTGTCTTTTTGTGTGTTCAAGCACAAGCTCTACAGTATCTCTATTTGTTTAACCATCCGTTCAACCATCTGTTCAATACAACATGAAAAGTTCATTTCTGGTATTTATTTTGTATGTAACAGTGCAGAGATTTAAATTTAATTTAATTAAATTAAAATTTGGGATTGATGTTCAACAACCTCAGCCCTTCACAACCTGGCTTTTATTTCCATGCTTTAAAATCCGACAGCAAGTTTCAGGTTGTGAAAGCATTGTGGAAAAGTTATTGCGAGTCCTATGCACAATGGCTTCATTCTGGCCCAGCATGGAGACCCAGGGGACCCTCTGCAGTTGATTATGTGGACTGGTCTATTTAGGCAAGCACAGACTCGCTGGGCTGGACCCTTTGCCCACAAGGAGGCATTTTCATCCAGTCAAACAGACGAGCTACTACCCCTGAACCCCTAGAAGACAAAGGAAACGTTTGGAGTACTACTGTAAGCTCGACAATGGTTTATGCGGCTATTATGTAACTATTAATATTGCAATTCATATTTTAAAACATGAAAACATGGGCTGACGGCTATAGAGTTTCCTGATAGAAGCTTTAGAGTCAGAGGCATGACTCTGATCTCACTCTATAAATAGTGCCACCCTGACATGCAGTTTATTTTTGCAGCCGAATCGCCACCATCGCTGGTCCAAATGGCGCAATTAGGTGATTAGTGGATTACAGTCTGCTGCTGCCTTTAAACATTTGGCGGTTCACTTGCTGACTGGTTGATTCAAGTTGGTTCTGCGAGGAAGTGGTAGATCCAGACTTGAGCTTGTCTTTGATGATGGACACGGACGTGGACAAGCGCGGAAAAACAAAAAGAGGCTTATTATGGGGCAAATTTTTCAATTATTCACTGACGAGACGTTTTTCAGGCGAGCCAGAGCGTAACTCGACATCTGTTTTTGGCCTGCAGGATGAAATTGCATCAACAAAAGTACACGCTTGCTCGAAAATGATTTCCATTTGATATCCAGTCGGTGAAAACAGAGAAACAGGAGAAGAAAAACAAACAAATGTGCAAGCCTTTGGGCACAGCTAGCAATGTAGTGGCACATGTAATAGAACACATTTGTGAGGGATAAAATATGGTTGGAAATTTCACAGGGACAAGCTTTGCGGGCAGCTCATAATAAATTACAAATTTGTGGCCGCTGCCTTTTCCTCCACCAAAGTCTCGATCCTTTGGCAAGTAGTACATCACTGTTGGAATCCGGAGAAAGATGCTCTGCATTAGTGCCCAAAGCATCCAGTATGGCAGATTTGGAAATCCCAGTTCTCTCTGAATACTATGTTCAGGCCACTGAGTCAATCAAAACCACAGTAACTTGTGAGGGCCAGTCCTGAACTAGATAGTGTTGATGGTGTTCCTGTTGTTGAGAAACATAAGACCACAGCATGTTCGCAGCTAGGGTCTGAAAGTGTGTTTGAGAAACAGCATACTCCCACAGCAGTGCAGTAAAGATTGGGACTTGGAACAAAAACAAAACACAAAACAATGAACTGTGCAAAAGGGCAACCTTCAAGAACGTTTTTACCCCCTGGGGCAATGTAAGAGGTCATTCACGGTGTCTCTGGAGTGGAATTTACTTTAAAAATCCCACAGGCAATTGAAAAGCATACAGTGTCTTCATATATGCCTGCATTGTGGTTGTGGTGGTCCAGTTACAGTGATGTCAAAGTTTTCTAAGAAAAGTTTTCTAGGAAAAGGACGCACCTGTAAAAGTGTGTGTGAGGGTGTGTATGAGTTGTGTGTTACCTCATTATTACCTGTTAATAGGCTGGCCTGCTGGTGTGTGCTCCACCTCATAGCCTTGGCTCCTCAGAACATCAATCACTGTGTTGTTGCCCAGGAAGTGACCTGCAATGTAAATACTGGCCTGGTCAGTCTCTTTCCATAGTCAAGTAGTCCAACACACACAAACATACGGCATGAAGTGCCCTGGCAAAACCCCTGTGCGTAATGTGATACAGTGCATGAGCAGTGAAACACAATGGGGCAATACTTCACAATCTCAGCCTTAACAACTGACCTGAATAAACACACGTTTGTGCTTGTCACTTTTACAGGAAGTGAGCATTTGACACAAGTACCTCTGTCAGAACTCCCTCTAGACAGACAACAATGGCACGATGTAAACGGTCTTCAAACTCTCAGTCTATCCAAGAACGGGAGATTCCCTACCAACAGTAGGCTGGAGCAAGCCTTGTGTCTGTTTGGCCTAAGCTGGCCATACTGCAGAGAAAGAGTGTGTATCTGTATGTGTTTCAGTGCATGGCTCATCTCTTCTGCTTCATTGCATTGTTGGAAAATGTTGATTGTGAGAAAATGTGACAATTTCTACAGTAAATAGCTGGTTTTCCATCCAACTCTTTTTTTTGCGAATTTGAAAATGCACATAAAAAACCAGGATGGAAAAGCCAAAGATTCAAAAACAAGCCTAAAAGCTGCAAAACATTTTAATGCTAGACCTATTTGCCCTATCAGAAAATGGGACAATGACTTCAGCTCTCATTAAATGGGCTATAAAGGCATCTCTGAATTTTTAGGACTACAATGAACAGCTGACAGAGGGCTAATAAAGGTTCAAATGCACGCATGGTGAGCGAGACTCTTGGGTGCGCTCTGGTACACTTGTGCTTGTTGTGCCTTGTAGGAAAGGTTTCCATTGTATGTATATGTGGCACAAAGCTCCAGTTCTGGTGAAGTTGTGTCATATCATAACAAACGGCATGTGGAAAACCACAGCAATGAATGGTAAAATTTAAATGTACTTGCTGAATCCATACGGGACAGTCAGTAAGGACACTTGTAACAGTTTAGAGTGATATTTTTATTTTAATTATAGACCCGCTATGCAAAAGACCAGGTTTAAGTGCTGATGTCACTTCATCTTCAGAAATTTGTGCATAACCACAGTAGATGGCAAGACTGATTCATTTGCATTTTCTTTTCCTTTTAATTTTTGGAAATTTGCTTCAATTTCTGCTCAAAACATTTGAAAGGAAACCCAACTAATGTGTTTTCTTTGAAATAAAGCACTCTATACCGTTCATATGATACACGCTTGCTGACAGGCTTTGGGAAGTGTAGGGGGGGGGTACAGTTTCATTGCTTTATAAAAAAGAAACTGCCTGTTGCATAGATGAAACTTTGAGCCATCAAGAGAAGAAGATAAGCGATAATAATATACTTTAGAACTGATGAAGTACTTGAAAAGAACAGGTTTATCCATTATAGATCTGTTGCAGCTAAGTGAGCTATATATCCTTGAAGATTCTAGATTTTGCTGCTCTACAGCAGCTCCCGATGCCTCTACAGATTTGGCTCCTGCATGAAGACTCTTCTTGGTGAGGGTTCTGTGGGCCAGGCTGCGGCCTGCTTTGCGTGGGTCAGCTGAGAGGGCCAGATGAAAGACTGAGCTTTTGTTTCCACTGCACTGTGAAGCATGGCTGATCTGCTTGGGACAATGCAGCCCCCTTTCCTTTGTGTGAAAGAGGGAGAGAGCGGAGACTCCTCCACATGGCAACCTGAACCTACAATGCCTCACTTCACCTTGTGGGGTAGCCAGGGGGCTTGACACAGGCCGTAAGGCCAACCACCTTTCCTCGAGAAAACTTTCTCCCACTCGCTATCTCTTTCTCCTTGTCGTACACACATATATACACAACTACTAGGGCTACATAAAACCCCGCTGGGCTGCCCTTTCGACTGACCCACGCAACACAGGCCACAACCTGGCCCACAGCTCTTAGACCACTTGGAGCTTTCTGTTTAGAGATGTTTTAGTGCAACTGCAGACCAGCAAAATCTTGACTCTTTAAGTGTATTCAGATGGCTGACCTTGCTTATCTTTAAACTAAAGGTTATTTCTGAAATTAATTAACTTTTGACAATTTGACAATATCTAATATGCCTTCTTAATATTCTCTCCATTTCCACCCACCACCATTTAAGGTTCTGTCTGTGCAGCAAGCAATTTCCTGTTCAATGGAACAATAGAAGCTATATCACTGCCATGCTTCTGACCATGTGAATATAATGGTATGAAGTTTTTTATTGTTGATGCATCAAGAATTTTTAAAATATTCTTAATTCAAACTAATTGTTGTAGCCCTCCTTTAAATTTGTGTGAGAAAATGGCTGCCAAACGCCAAAGCAAAGAGGGGAAAGATTAAGGCCCAATTCCATTTCACCCCTCGCCCCTACCACTCAGCCCTTAGCCCTCTGTTCTCATCTAGGGGTAGGATGCCCCAATTTATGTTGAGATAGAGGGGTAGGGCGAGGTGTTGGGGCTACATGGCCCTCAAAACTAAGGTTTTTCAGAGACTCCAAACAGAGTGTTATGAGAAAAAAAAGAAAAACCGGCAAGATGGCTGCGCGAGCAACCAAAGAAACCCACAAATGTGAGAATTTTCTGTTAAAAAATTATGATAACCATTGTATTATCTTAGTTTAATGTCGTTTCAGTGTATTATGGTCGTTTTCGTCATAACGAGCATATAAAATCGCCAATAGCATTCTAATGTCTCGGTAGCTAGCTAGCCAACTTTCCCGTTCCACCTTAAATAGTCCAGCAGTTCTGACACCTGAAGTGCCAGAATGTGACTGCTGCACCATTTAAGGCGGAACGGGAAAACAAGAAGCTGGAGAATATCTGACTTTAGCTTCATATCACTGAAGAATTAGGGGTGGGTGATAATAAATAAATGCCCCTCTTTGAAGGCATATGATGCCCTAAATGTAACTAAAGCCCAGCAGTGAGGAGCTGAACTTTACCCTCCTCTGCTGTCACTGCAGGCTGGCAGGGTCGCCTACAGAGCAGCGCTGGTAGCTGTTAATGAAGTAATGCTCTTTTATTTGAGGGTCCCATTTCGTAGGGCAAGATTTCAACCACTACCCCTTGTAACTCAGTTCCAAGGGGTTAGGGTGACACTCGAAAATAAGGGGTAGGGTAAAAAGAAGAAATGGGATTGGGCCTAAATTCAGCTGTACAGAAGCTAATTATAGAAAAGGCAAAAACATAAGGTAAGGCTTTTGCTTTAACCTTACATAAATACATCAGCAGCACGCAAGGTTTAAGAGAGATACACACGCTGCAGGTTTAAAATCTGTGGCCCACTGCATTTTGATCTAAGTGAATAATGAATACCACTTTACCCACGATAATGAGACTATAAAGTATTAAGCCTACACACATGCAGAGCACAGCTGATGCTAATTAATGAGTGGCTTTAGGTGGGTCAGACAGAAGGGAAGCTCCAAGTGTTTCAGCTTTGTGCTTTGAGACTTATCCTTTAAGCCCCTCTCTGTTACCGATCACCGAGCGCTAGACCTCACACCCGCACTCCTAAAGCTTTCCAAGTGACAGATCAGAAAAACAGTATTCAAAGGTTGTTAGTGAAAGCTGCTTTTATAAGAACAACAGTTTGGCCGATTCTTTTATAGTAGTTAACATTAGGATTCGGGTAGCAGCTGGAGCTAGTTTCACCGTGCAACACTATAAAAGGGCAACTCTCAACCTGAACCTACTGAGGGAGTCCAAAGACAACACTATTCAAATCAAAGCTGTGTAAGTTACAAACTTAATGCTCGTCACACTTTTTTGTGTTCAGATTGGAAGTTCCTCTTGCCTGGCACATACTTGGCACAAAACATTATACCCATACGTACATCCCTGAAAAGCAAGCCGATTTTCCATTAGTGAATAATGTGAGTTCAGCAAAGCAAATGTTCGCTTTTTCCACTATTAATCTGGACACACAGACCGATGCACTGAGGCTTTTGGAGTGAAAGAAGGTAAAACATTGCCAATCAAAATGCTGCCTGCAGGGGGTGACAGAAGAGATATTTTCCCAATCAGCGGGAGCACGTGTTCAGCAACTATTCGCACTACTATGAAGGGCTCCTGCAGTTTCTATATGCTTTTAACTGTATTCAGTCTCATAACTGAGAAGCAAGGAGTGATTTCATAAGCTATTCCGAGACTTCTTTACAGAAAACGCTTCAGTTGGGACAGCCATTTAAAGAAAAGCCAAGTTCTGCTTTGAACATACACCAGAGCTTGACATATGTGTCCAAACACAATGAGATCTGACTATTTGTGTTGGGTTTGGTCAGGTTCATTTTGTCAATTCTTAGATATAATTTTTCGGTAACACTTTATTTGGATGGTCCACTGTAGATGCTTAGTAAATGCTCAGTATATCTTTAAGTAAAATTCAACTAAACATCTGTTAAATGCAACTGAACTTTAAGTTGAGTGTTATTTGGAGGATCCACTGTAGATGCTTTGTAAATGCTCAGTCTGTTTATAAATAACATTCAACAAAGTATCTATTAAATGCAACTGAACTACAAGTTCAGTGTGAAAGAGTTTATTGAATCTATCCCTGCTCCTAACCCTAACCCTAACCTCAAGGATAAACTTACATCTACTCCTAACCCTAACCCTAACCACAATGTTGTTGATAATCAACTGAACGTTACCGGAAAGTTTGTTAATGATTTAAGTATCTGTAGAGCATCTATAGGGGACCATCAAAATAAAGTGTGACCAATTTTTCAAATATTTGCTGCATTTAAGGTGGGCACCAATATCACCTTTGAGTTTCTCACAGCCTGTTTCGTACTGTAAATGAATTTTGGCCTTCATTTAAAGTGGGTACTTTAGTTTAAATTATTTAGTTTATTTTTTTCACAGCCGATAATTAGGCTATTAATAGCCTAACTTTGTTTACCAATGAGCTGATCTGAACTGGAGACTGAACCTGGAGACTTGGTGGTGGTCAGATTTGGACAGAAGTTTGTCAGGTTATTACTGATTTGACGTTCAAGTTGATTCAGTGAATCATTCTCAG